ACCTCATCCAGTACCCCGCTGACCACAGCATCGATATGGTCAAGCGCGCCCATCTGGAGGCTCGATGCGACGTTAGTTGCCCTTGCAGCTGGTGCGGCATGACCATCTGCTGCGAGTGTACCTGCTAGACGTCGATGGATTAATGGCCTGGGTAAGTACCCTGTCAGTTATCGAGGATCCAAGTTGGACTAAGGCTTCGTTTGTCCATAGGTGGTATGACTGCTCAAGTCCTGCCCCTGAGGACATTGGATAAAGATCATTGCAGGATTACGAGAGGCCGGTCACTCGTTTACATAAATTTGGCAATTCAGTGGTTCAAGACCTCATGTGTACTCTTTACATGATCGATGCGTTTGCTTGCAAGGCTCGTCTGTCCCTGTCTGGCAAAGCGAATACGAAGTCTTTGTATGTCACCTGAATGCTCCCTCAAAGGTGTATAGCCACGTCAGATGCCAGATGCCAGGGGCCATGAGTATGGTTCGGCGGATGTGCCCTTAAGACCTGTGCTTGTTCGATCGCGCATGCAGCCCGCTGTAACGAGATGACAGCAAATCCCCGAGCTATGTAATGACAGGTATCGGCACATACCTCAAAGAGAGCCTGGCAATGCGACACTTGATCTTGCCCGCTGAGACAGGAAGGTGCATGAACACATCAGCCTTGGCTTGTCGAGACGCTCTGGCAGGGTCCCGCTGGCAGAAATTTTCCGCGTCGACGCCTCATCCATCCTATCTACAGCAGCACGTGACACCTGCCTTCACCGATCAAGCAGGAATGGAGAAGACGCAATTAAGCTCAAAATCCAAACGTCTAGCGTCCGTCTATGCGCAGCCGATGACGTCGGTTGTGGTATTACACGTGGTGTGGTGCGGCGCAGAAGCCGGGAGAAGTCGTGCGGTCCCACGTCTCTTGCAGGAATCGCGCATGAGGAACTAAGTCGACAGCTACATGTCCGACTTGCATATCCTTGTAAGGCGCGTATTGTGGGCCTCCCGAGGATTCTCCAAGGTTTGCATTGCTGTATGCACGTGCATTGTGGCGTCGATTGGGCTAGCGCAATATAATCTGTACGACACGTCACTCTGACAGTCATCAACAGCCACCACTTCCAGCAGTTCGGAAGCGTTCCATGAACAACACAACGACTGCCAGCGCAGAGCAGATGAAGATTGAGGGTGTGCTAACCCCGCCTTGAGCCTCGTGTTGTAGATCAACTCAGCTGCGCCTTCCGCTTCAAGCGCGCAGAAGCGAATACCGAACAAGTGCCGTGTTGAAGAGTTGGCTAGCGTTCAGCGTGTCGGAGGGTTTGCGAGTACACCAAACCCATGGCCATAGCACGAACATCCAGGAACCGGACAGCCTGCAGAAGTGTGATGTGATATGGGCTGCATTCGATGCACGAACCTGGTGATCCTAGGGCTGAGCGGTTCACGCCAGGAACACATTCATTGATATTGACACGCCGTTCTAGGCAATCGCATATGCCACCTCACCTCACTCATGTGGGTCCAGTTGGAGCCATGAGCTACCCTAATCCCACGTTCTTTCGCTTAACGTTGCATTGCTGCGTATGCGACCTTTGCAGCTTCAGCACGCGGAGCATGCTGTCTAAGATGACGCGCTTCGAGATGGCATCTACAGATACGGTACGGAATCGGCACGGCCCTTTATTCATCTAACCGTAAGCGGGCCGAACGCCGATGGAACTATGGGCCAATCTGCGAGACACATCTGGCATTGCATCGGGGCCTTGAGAAACTAGCATGGCAGCATCTCTCGTCGTCCTCCAGCTGCCAGCACATCGCTTGAACCAAGCTTAACAAGGTAGACATACTCACCACCAAAATTTATCCGTACCAGCTCATTGGTCTCTACATCCCAAACTTGTGGTGCCGAAAACACGCAGCAATCCGTCGTAGTGTCTGTACCGGGTTCTGGCGGTTGGAGTTTCTGCCTTGCCGCGTTCTCTTCTCGCTACCCCCGCAGTTGCTCGCTGAATGATGTTTCTGCCGGCCAATTATGGCGGAAATAGGCCTGCCAACGCAGCATAGTATCAGCTTCATGCTTTGTTCCCAAGCACATATGTGGTACGGCGGCTGCAGGCTGAATCTTTTTGAGATGGCCTTGTGGCAAAAGCGCTGGCCGGCCCTTACAGGATACCGAAAGTGAGGCTCTAATGTTTATGCCGGACTATAAACAGACGAGGAGATATGCTAGAGCAAGTGTTCTTTCCAGCCTTCGCACACGCAGTTGATCCTCCAGATCCCCACTCACGAGTCACTACCCCACACCAAATCCCTCGACAGCATCGCATTTTCATCCTTTCCCCCAAACCCATCTCGCACAATGGCGGCACCAGAGAGTTACGTTCAGAAGCTTCAGCGTGCGCAGACCACTGTCCCTGTGAGGGCCCAGCTAAACTTCCCAGACTACTGCGCCACGAACCAGATCGCCCAACCTCAGTTCCAAGATTACAGCGACCCACGAGGTATGCAGCCGTTCGCTCTACATGTTGCCCCACCATTCTCGACTCTGACTGACTCTCCTATCAGGTATACGGACAGCCTGGTCCAGCAGTGTCTTCGTACACGGCCGCGAATACCGAGCCCACCTCTGGCGAGACTACCGCTACCTCGAACAGTCCCGAGAAGAAGCCGCCGAAGTCGCTTGGAAAGCACTCAACTCCGCTCCTCCTCCTACGAGCACCGTGGTCCAGCCGCAATACACCCGTGCCTACACGACATCTCGATAACTCTTCGGTCGCTTTCGCATAAAACAACAACAAGACTCAGGGGTAAAGGGCACTCCGGACTGCGCACTCGTCAGGAGACCACCCCCTGAAGGCTCTGTTGCTCAGACGCACTGTCACTATGTGCTTGCCACACATGTTGTCTCTCGACCGACTTTTGCTGCGACCTATCTTCTTCTGATAGCTGGTTCTATACCCTTTTCTCTTTTGCGCTAGGTCTCTACCCTTCTTCAGCAACACCAACCCGTCGCGGTGTGTACTTCATTGTACCACACTGTGTACGGTGTGGTTCCTGACCGCCCCGCTCCTTGTTCGGTCTTATACTGTATCTTATTTCGTTGGAGGTTTTTTGTCATTTTAGTAAGCGATCAATCGGGGCTTGGGCTGTGTGGCTGTTGAGCATCGCCGCCAAACTGCCAGTCTCACAGCCTCTTTCCCCCTTTTTAGGAACGGATGTAACTACGCACTATCATTCAGCAGCCGTATTCCACTAAATCCACACTAAATCACAAAAAGAGCTCACGCGAGTCTGCTTGTTACTAATTGGAGAACATGTCTCGAGTAACTTCAGGCACACACATTGGGACCCTCACTGCCTACTTCGGAGGAGATACAAACATGTTGCATGTACCTTAAAACGACCGAATAGTGCCATGAGTCATGCTCTTTGCTTTCTGCGGTGAAACTTCCGCTTGCGCAGTATATCAGAGCAATCTATGTGCTATGACACCTGCTTCGAACAAGCTAAATATTGATCGAACACTCGAAGTAGGCACGATGCAGGCAATATGCGATGAGCACGGAAACATATCACGTCAATAGTTCTAACAGCTCCCCAGCCCCTAAATACTACACATCCATCGAAAATGTTCAGACTAGTACAGCCTCTTCCAGCTTTAGCCATCGCCAGACGAGTATATGTCAACCTCATTAGAAAGTCACATAGATATCGGTCAATACCGTGTGTAATCTATCACTTAACTTTCACGAAACTACTGCACAGTAACTCAACACTATTGATGCCTCATTCTAAATAATATTACCGCATGTCCTCATCAAGTACGTTGCCATCTTGTCACTAAACGTACACAGGATGGTACAATTTGCGTTGTCATGCATACGCCACTTTTACTGACGTCTTTCGAACTTCTCGTCCGACATTGGTCCAGCGAGGACACAGCTCATACGTACGACAGTATGAAGGGCTGTAGTGAAGGTACTCCTACGCTGCGTAGCTATGGCTGCAGCGACAAACACGCGATAAGCACCAAAGAGCAAGAGGAAATACAAACAAGACAAGCGCGAATCTGACAGAAAGCAGCTCTTGAAAAATCGCTCACGCTTGAAATATCGCAACACCAGCTTGAGCACAACCTGGTCCAGTCAGCACATCCCGCGACTTGTACATCTTTTGAAGACTTCAATTGCCGTCAAGATATCAGGAAGACGACAGATATCTCATTGCCAAATACACTATGCTCAGCAATACCCCAGCCTTAAACGTAGGGATATCGACGGAACCCCGACATTCCAAGCGCCAGGCCACACAATGCGACACATGTTCAGTCTGATCCCCCTCCGCCGCATTCATGCCAACCATTACCCATCTTGGCATACCCCCAAAACCCCATTGGCCGACACCGCCATCTTCTAACGGACCGGAAACCTGAGATGTGTTAAGGCATTTCGAGGCAAGAACATTGCGTAGTGGCTGAGCAGTGGGGTGGGGTGAGGCTGAAGTGCGCTAATAGGTTCGCTTACGACGCTTTCCTCCTTCTCCTTACAACATTTCTCCACATGCATCACGGAACGGGAGAACGCATAATGTTCGCTATGTTTTGCGTTTCCAAACTACGTGCGTGGTGATCGTCTGTACCGCGCCATTTGTAGGCTAAAAGTAGATGCGAAACGTGCGTGTTGGTAACATGGCTTTTACGCGAGGCGTAAGGAATGCTATGCTGCCTCGTCGCCATACGGACGTGATTGCCTGTTGGGGCATTGGTGAGGCGGCAGTGACATCTGCGAGTTTCGAGTTGGCGCCCGTACTTGCTCATGTGAAGGGTAGGATCAGCTTTTGCGGTGTTGAGGTGGACATATATATGGAGCGTCTCCCAGATACTGACTATCATCATCGATACTGAGGCAATTGGCATCTCTATCTTGCAAACAGTACATAATCATACTTCCTGGCGAAGATTCTAATACATCAATCTAATAAAACACCAAAACATCAACACCAAGATCAACCAACATGGCACCCATCTTCAAGCTCCTCGCTCTTCTAAACCGTGAGTTCATCCCCCAAAATCAACCTTCTCCCATACTAACCTCCCCAATAGTCTCCCTACACGTAGCAGCCCAAGGCACCCAATTCATCACCGGCGAATGTGCATCAGATGCTGAGTGCGCCTCCGCGTGCTGCGGCTTCACATCCGGGAAATGCGCCGCACCCTTCGTAGCCAACGAACGAGGTGAAGGCTGCGGCTTTGGCGACGCACAGCCAAACAACAATGCTCTGAATGGCGCAGGTGGAAACGCCAGTGCGGATGCACAACCAGACGATGCTGCTCCCGCTCCCGCTCCTGCCGCCCCTCCTGCGGAGAGTAACACTGGAGCTGCGGCTCCGGCAGCAGCAGGTACGCAGTTCATCACTGGGGCGTGTACATCAGACGCTGATTGTGCGTCGGCTTGCTGTGGGTTTAAGAGCGGGACATGTGCCGGTCCAGTTGTGGCGCAGGAAAGAGATGGAGGATGTGGGTTTGGGGACGCGCAACCGAATGATAATGCGGCGAAGGCATTGCAGGGACGTAGGCTGGGGAGGAGAGGCGCGAAGTATATGTAAGATGCTGGGGAAGAGAGATGAAGTAGTGATGTGATGACGGAGACGAGCCTGGTGTCATTATGAATGTGTTCAATCACTTCTACTCTTGTCCCATAGGGCGCTTGAAACAACCGTCTCTTTCTTCGTAGCAAATGACAAGCTACACAGCCAACGTGCACAGGACTACACACGTACGCCTGATGAACACGTCTCCCATGTGTATGTAAACGTACCGGGACTAGATCCGAGTAATCTGCCCGAATACCCCGGGTGATACGCGTATTGAGGGGAACTAGGAGTGTACGATGTACGAGGCCAACCGTTGACCTGGTTTTGCATCTTGATGAGCCGGGAACCCTTTGCCCTTCTTAAAATAGCCTCGCAATCCAGATGCCAGGTTTGATTAGTCTTTCAACGTTTGTTCTCTGAAGCGTGTAAGACCAAAAAGTCCCGGTCGATCCGTTGACTTGTAGTACCAAGGGATATGCTTGCATACATCCCTGTGACTACCGGAGTAAACCCCGCTTGACTTTGTGAAAGTTTCAGCAATGTCAACATAATGTCGTCGCAACAATAACAATGCTCATTCACAGATGTGTAGGTCGAGAAGGGTATAACGTGTAAAAGCAGCCTCACAACAGAGGCTAGCTCGATTCTCTTCTCATATTGCATACCCAGACAGGTGTACGCCACTAACATGTCTAACGCCCATTTATACTCCGGCGCTCCAATGCATATAGAGAATGCAACCCAGTAGGAGAGAGCCCCATGTGTACGCCAAAACACCCCCTCGAGTGATGTAGAAAAAACTCGATGCCGTGCAACACAGAAAAGGCGGCAGAGTGGTTTGCACATTCCCGACAAAAGGGAAAACAATATAACAGATGAAAAGGGATATCGAGAAAGGATGTTTCGAAGCGAAGTATGCCGAAGTCGTGAGTGTGGGTCGAAGAGACGTGGTGTGCTTCTGATGGGATGTTAGTATTTAAATGGGATGAGATGGAGATGGTAGGAGTGACGTACGGGTGCATTTCTGCAGCGCTGCTACATCTCAAGAAGTTGTGTGGCCATTTGGGATCTCCTTGGAGCGGCCGTCGCCAGCCCAGACACCGCCGCCGACAGCCCTTGAGATGCCGACACCGAGGCCAACGGCAGCAGCGACGACGAGGAGAGCGATGACGATCTTAGCCCACAGTCTCTGTTTGCTGGTCATGTTCCGGAAGAAGGCACAGCCACGCTTGCGCTTGTACGACTTCCGCTTGTCCAGCACAGCCTGCCTCGTGGGCCACATGGTGCACTCCTTGACGCGGCCATCGACCGAGTGCTTGGAGGGCTGCTGTGTGGAGGCGACGGAGAGGGGCACGCCGCCCTCGAGGTCGTGTTCGTGGACGGCGACGCCGAGGTGTGTCTTGCTCTGGAGGGCCGTGTCGTTGAGGGAGTGACGCGTCTCGCGGAGGGCCTCCGGGTGCTTGTAAAAGGCCGAGTAGGGGTTGGAGGGGTCGGCCGCCCACTCCTTCTTGGCGAGGTCAGCGTCGGCGGTGGCAGACGACATATTTGAGTCGTGCGAGGGCGGCGAGCGTAGCGGCTGCGAAGGCGGAGGAAGGCTGCTTAATGGGCTGGGGGAGCGCTGGACCGTGGCGCCGAAGGTGACGGGCTCGTGCTTCTCTTTTGCTGCCATTGTGACGTAGGCAAGGAGGGTTTCACGCTGGCAGTGCTGGGGCGTTTGGTGTCTAAGACGTGAAGCGTGGGCTCGTCAGGAGGACCCTTTCGGCGGCAGGCGGGCGACAGCAGCTGCAGTGGCCGGGCCGGGCGGTGGTGCGACAATGGGCAGCGGGGGGTTCGCTTCACGACAGGCGCAGCATGGGGGAGAGGGCAGCGGTGGGTGAGGGTGAAGGCGTCGTTATCGCTTGCCGTGTGGTATCTGGTATCGTGGGAGATATGGCTGCAACGGGAAGGGGGGATCGCCGTCGACGAGGAAGGAGCGGACAGTGCACCAGGGGAATGGGAAGCCGCGGGTCGACCAGCGTGCGTCAGTGCGTTGGCTCGGAATACGGCAGCAGAAAACGTGCGGCGGCCTTGAAGCAGCGTCGCGGTGGGAGGAGCAGAGATATGAAGAGTTGTGAAGGAGCTTGCGCGCAGCACTGCACGCACGCCAGGCCATGCCGCCTGGTGGACACGGTCTGTGTGAAAGCTGAGAGTTCGGAGCTAGGGTCAATCGTCGGGCCCGCTAGGCCGTTCGCAGCCATGTCCCTGCAACTTCCCACCGGCTCGTCGCTCTGAGTCGAGCGTAGCTGTAAGACGTCCCTGATCTTCATCGCGTTCACTCGCCCATTCGCTTCCAGTACTCACGTCCATCATCATGGTTACAGCGCCATCCATGCCATGACATTATTACTGAGCATTCGCTTTCATTCTTCATGCTTTCCTTCCATACCCCCACCACGTACACACGCTGTACACGCATCCCTTGACGCCGCTGAAGGCCCGCTAGATTGATTGCCGCGTGCCTGGCAGGTCGTCGAGTTACCTCGCAACAGGTTAGCAGCCTCGCAGGTCTACAGCCGTGCGGCGCGACTGGAGTTTGGCTCATCTTGGCTGTTGAATCGCTAAGCCCCTTCTAGCTAAAGCGCGCATAAAACATACGCTGCATCCAATCTTTGAGCCGCCAGATGCACGCGGAGCACCTGGCCGAGAGCCTTGGTCGCAGCTTGTCTGTCATGCACCAACGCGCGACTTGCTGTTCTCGGTGCCACCTTCAACAGCGAAGCATTGGAGAAGGCGAACTTTTTTTTCTTGTTTCGTGCCCACGCTTGAGCAACCCCGGCCTTGCCGGTCGTTGAGCCCGTTCTATTGAAACGCATGGCCTACCGCAGAGGCAAACGTCGCGACTGTGCCTCTCGATCGAGCGCGCACATCGTCGATATAGCAGCGCTGTTACTCTGTAGGCGTCCCGAATGCCCACTGTTATCCTGATAAACTAGCGGCGTGTGAAACCGCTATAGCATCCACCCGAGCGGCGCAGCAAACACAGAGGCGAAATCTATGCACTGCTCCGGACCTCATACGAAAGCAGATACGCCTATACGCCCACGCGACGAACATACGATCTGGAGACGGGAGGCAGGCTCAGATTAGATAACGCACGAATGATGTGTACCGCAAAAAGGGTTCTGAAGCCCGCGCACGTGCGTTCCGCCCCAGCCAACATCGCGCTAATGCAAACTGCGGGCAAGCATCGCCTGTCCTACACAGCTCCTGTCCCTAGGGACCTATGGAACTATGATGCTGTCAAATGCGCGATGCGCGCCATAGTACCAACGCCCCAGACCGGCCCAGTCGTGTCACATGGTCGCCCACCGTCCGCGCTTGTTATGGCCATCTGGACCCAGCCTGGCGTTTGTATAGACTTGTCGATAGACTCTCCGATAGTTTTGGAGCAAGCCTCCAACACTTTGTGTGCAAGGTTATTTGTATTGAGCTGAAAAGCAGCCAGCCCTATGAATTACTACTTTTTTGCTTATCGCACCCGTCTCTAATGCTGCCCGATCAGAAATGCCGCGCCAACGCCATGCCATGCCATGCGCAACCATCAGTCTGCGCGTTTGCTTGCTTCCTTAGCAAGAGCAGCCGCATTACTAGCCTACGTTCTGGGCCGTGTACCCGCCCGCGCCCAATCAAAACTCCTGTTCCCAAGCTTCTAGTTTGCGCCAGCGATTTCTTCCCTCTTGATACCGGATCTGTCGCACATGCCCTTGAAGATTCCGCCTTGGTCGTACAGATTTAGCGGCGAGTCGAGCTCTGCAATCAGCCCGGCGTCCATGACGCAAATCCTATCGTAGTTGATAACTGCCGCATGTCAGTACGAAGTCGGCGCGCGGCAGGCAGCAAATGCACTTACTGGTCTTTAGTCGATGGGCGATGCACAGAAGCGTCTTGCCCTTGAAGCCATCCACGATCTGTTGGTAAATGTTAGCTCATGCATTCAACAGTACTGCTTGATGACGCAAAGCTTACCGTTTGTTGAATCTTCGCATCTGTCTCAAAGTCGACCGAGCTGGTAGCTTCGTCACAGACGATAATCTGAGATCCGCGGACGAGCGCGCGAGCCAAAGCCATCAACTGCCTTTGACCGAGGGAAAAGTTGAGACCCTCTTCCTCAACCACACTGTCGAGATGTATGCGTGCAGAGTGATCTTCCATGGTCTGTTCGTTCGAAACAAGATCAGCCTGTCGCAGGGCAGACCAGAGTTCCAGGTCAGAATGTTCGTGGAAAGGATCCAAGTTGGACCGAATCGTTCCTTTGAAGAGCGTGGGGTCCTGCGGGATGATGGCCAGCTTGGAGCGTAGATCATGAAGACCGATCTTGCCAATGTCTACACCATCAATGACAATGGAGCCACCTGACAGCTCTTGCAGTCGGAACAACGCCGACATGATGGACGATTTACCCGCTCCAGTGCGACCAACGACACCAATGCGCTCACCAGCACGGACATGCATGCTCAACCCCTTGAGCACCAAAGGTAGCCCATCGCGGTATCGCATCTCCACATTGTCGAAGACGATCTCGCCATGCTCGGGCCAGGTTGGTCGTACCTCACCCATGTGCAGAGGCGCTTCTTCTTCGAGTTGGCTTCCGTAGTGATGAATGCGCTCCGTGGAGTTCATGTTGTTTTCGACCTCAGCAAGTTGACGAACCGTAAACTGAATCATCTGCACAATAGTGAGAATGTACGAAAGGACCAGACCAGCGATGCTAGGATCGACGGAGAAACGGCTCGTAACGACGAGGATACCCGTTGTGAAGACGAGTAG